AGAGATTCAGGATTGTAGTGAATGGTGAATACAGAATCATCAGAGAAAATCAGTCAGAAAACAGAGATTCAGGATTGTAGTGAATGGTGAATACAGAATCATCAGAGAAAATCAGTCAGAAAACAGAGATTCAGGATTGTAGTGAATGGTGAATACAGAATCACCAGAGAAAATCAGTCAGAAAACAGAGATTTAGGATTGTAGTGAATGGTGAATACAGAATCATCAGAGAAAATCAGTCAGAAAACAGAGATTCGGGATTGTAGTGAATGGTGAATACAGAATCATCAGAGAAAATCAGTCAGAAAACAGAAATTCAGAAGGTTAATCAAGTTCCATTCGTGAAGCCACTCGATCTTTTCAAATCACAGCGAATACATCAACAGAACTAGTCTGTGGGTTTTGTAATATTTCATCGACCACCGTGTTTATCGTCCATCAAAACGAACGTTTCGTTTGGATTTCTCACTTGTCGTGATCATTTCATTTCTGTTTCACATGTACAAACCCAAGTTGGAAAAAATACAAACGTTATTTCTTAACTCTAAGAACTAATTTGAAGACAAAACTGCACTCAGTGCTGCTTCTAGTACGAGTAGTGTGCGTATTTACGCTATTTTGATTGCCACTAGTGCAAAATAATCGTTTACCTGCGCACTAGCTCACGCAAAAAAAGAATATATATATATATATATGTGTGTGTGTGTATATACGCATTTTAATTCTTCGTGTGAACCTGCCTTTCGAAATGTATTATAAATGACTTCGTAATGATAGATCGCGATCGTAACCGGAAAACTTCGAACAGTACGTAGCTCATTTCGATATGTAAAGGAATGTGATTGGCTGTGTTATGACGTCATTTGGTTTTACGGGAGATTCCCTTGATATTATGGGAAAAAAATGGCGGAAAAAGCGAAAGTTACAAAGACGTTCAAAGTGCAGCAAATTTTCAAAAACGTATCTACATATTGCCATCAAAATGGTGTAAAAATAGAAATAAATAGATAAAAAAGGTGCAGAAAAGAGGTTTGTTTGTTTGTAATTAAGCACAAAGCTACACAATGGGCTATCTGTGCTCTGCCCACCACGGGTATCGAAACCCGGTTTCTAGCGTTGTAAGTCCGTAGACATACCGCTGTGCCACTGGGGGGGGGGAGAGAAGAGGACTGTAATGTAAGTTTTGTCAGTGAATGCGTAGATATTTTCAGAACGTACACAAATCAAATAAATTGCAATGATTCAATTTACTGTTTCTTCAAAGAAAAATTAATTGATTACGTTATACTTTTATGACTCGTGAAGTTGACACCTACTTCATTACATAGATGGCCCACTTTCTGGAAGTCAGTGGGGGATTTGGCCCACTTGAGAAAAATCCTAGAAGCAACATTGTACACTATTTCGGTCTGCTTAGCGTGTGTACTGCTTAAATTTTTCACTCTACATTTTTTTAGAAAATCTTAGTTCATAATAATTTTCACAGATTAATTGCTTTGTTTTATTGTTTCGACCTCAAACCAAAATGTCTGTTTTTATTGCTCATGTGTTCGTACGTAACGCGGTCAGTTCGTTTCTGTTTCACACAATCAAATTTTGCAAGTTTAAAATATAGGTTCTGTTTTTGCTTTCCATACATAGATATGAACTAAGTCCCAATAAATTTTACATCAGTACAGTTTGTTTTACTTGGTGCTATGTTGATCCATACCGACCACATGTACTGTTTATACATTTTCAATATGTTTTTGGGCGATGTGCCTGTATTGTTGGAAGTTAAAAAAATGGGTTCTGTTTTTGCTTTCCATACATAAACATGAACCGAGTCCCAAGAAGTTTTATAGTTCAAAAACCTCAGCAGATCAAAACTGACTAAAACTTTGGAAAAATTCTACCGAGTTTATATAGTTTTAACTAATCTCTCCTTTCTTTTGCATACAATTCCAAAAACTTATGAGTGAAAATAAGGAAGAACATGTTATAATATGTCTTAGGAAACTAAATTAATCATGATACACCTTTACGAAACACAGCGTTATTTTTCTCCTTCTATAAGTTATAACTTCTTTCCAGGTGCCACAAAAGAAAGGTATTTCAGAAATATTTCAGGTAGAACAGATAAGGTGTGCTTAAGAAGTGTCGAAAGAAAGAAATGACGAAGTGTCGAAAGAAAGAAATGTTTAAGAATCGGATTTTTTATTGTTAGGAAACCCAAATAGCTGCGTGGACTGTATATATATATATATTCTGTTAAATGTAGGTATGTTCTGTAAAGTTTAGATACATACATACTACACTACATCTGCCACATCCAGTGCCGACGAGGCCATTCGGTAATTCCGTGGAATATCTGGTCGGCTGGGATACGACAGACATGGTAGTGATCTAGTTGTTTACTTGTGTCATCAACTTTCATGAACAAAAACTGTTATGATGTGAACTAGATTAAGTAAAAACTGTTAAGGTGTGAACAAGATTAAGTAACAACTGTTATGGTGTGAACTAGATTAAGTAACAACTGTTATGGTGTGAATTAGATTAAGTAACAACTGTTAAGGTGTGAACTAGATTAAGCAACAACTGTTATGGTGTGAACTAGATTAAGCAACAACTGTTAAGGTGTGCACAAGATTAAGTAACAACTGTTATGGTGTGAACTAGATTAAGTAACAACTGTTATGGTGTGAATTAGATTAAGTAACAACTGTTAAGGTGTGAACTAGATTAAGCAACAACTGTTAAGGTGTGAACTAGATTAAGTAACAAATGTTAAGGTGTGAATTAGATTGAGTAAATTAATTGTAATTATTATTAATTTTATTTAAGTCACTTGTAAATCAGATTGTTAGGATGAATATAAATCACACTATTAATATTATTATACGGATTATTTATTTATATTTAAATTAGTTTTACTTACATTCAGAAGAACTACCCAACCAGTAAATTAGGCTGAGTCACTTCAGTGAAGTGACATCCTATACATTATCCCAGAACTTACTTGTACGTACAATCAAATTTAACGCGAACATTAAAGCCAGCCAGCCAGCGTTGTTCTCTTGCCGTGTGAAATAGCTTGATGATATAACGTTGCTTGTTCGATAAAGTTCAA